TGTGTGTGTGTGTGTGTGTGTGTGTGTGTGTGTACCTGCAGTGCAACCATAAATGATAACTAGTAAATAAATCAATGTCTGGGAAACGATTGGTCAATTTATTTTCATGATCGATGCTGATGATGGTGGCTGATCACAGCAGCTGTAAACCTGATGTTTCCTGTTCTTACTAAGACCCAGACACTTTCATTAACAGGGTTTTATATTCCTGAAACATGAACTGTGTGACTCACATGCTTTCAGTGCTGTTTCTGAGTTTCCCAACCTACTCTGAGAATAACAGATATAGTCTGATGAAGAGCAGCAGTCAGACTCCACATCACTGGTGGTTGAAACCAGAGGCTTTGACTGTGTAACAATAGAAGTGATGGATGAGCCAATCAGACTGACTCAGATATTGAGAGTGTGCGTGTCTCTTAAGCCTCCTCCTCCCGCTCTGCCGTCTCCTGATTATCTAAATCAGAGCTGCAGTTATCAGCAGGCTGTCAGCTGCTGTTCTTCCCTTCACAAACAATAAAGTTATGTAGGTTTTGAACTGAGGTAACTCCCAGAAGACCACAGCTTAGAGCCAGGGCACTCTCAATGTCCCCCCTGTCCTCTGGTCAACAAAACCGCTGGAAAAGGGACCAATCAGCATTCACACTCAGGTCACATGACTGCAGTATTTATCAGCTCTGTTCAGCAGTGATATAAACACAACACCCGGGTGAACTCACCCATTTTCCAGCTGTGACGTCTCTCAGAGCACAGACACTGTAAACACACCTGTCACCTGTCCAGGTGCTGTTACACCAGAAACACAGCGGCTACACCTTCCTCTGAGTGTGAGGCTCCGTCCACACCACTACAGTTTAGTATCAAAACTCATCTCTTCTTCTACGTTTCCTGCTCCGTCCTCACGACTCTGAAAACTCAGGCTTGCATTTTATTTTCAAAAGTCTGTTGTGTTTTACTTTGAAAAGCAGCTGTTGTTCACTTACATCCTCTGTTTTAATGCTACAACTGTCTTTGCTGCTCCTCCTTCAGAGGAGACAATCTACTTCCTGTTTACACCGGCTCGCACGTGCTCAGTGTAGAGTTGTCACAAGCTGTTGACTGAGCTCAGCTGTCAGTTGGATAGTTTGTCAGTTGTAGGTGAGAGGTTTGGGGGGGTGGGAGGCTGGGGGGGGCACCATCATCAGGTGAGAGCAGAGTTTGTGTTGGCAGGCTGCCTGCCCTCTGCTCTCTCCTCCCAGGAATCCACTTCATCCCTTCATCTCTGTCTCTCTCCGTCTGTCGCTCTGTGATTGATGGGCTGGAGCTGTTTTCCACTGTCATCACTCAGGGGTCAGGCTCAGATCCAGGAATGTCGCACAGTCAGTTGGGACACACTATCAGTCACCCCCCTCCCACACTGTGGATTTCCCATCATGCTTTGCTGCTGTGTTTGGACGTCCAGCCTGCAGACTGCATTGGACGACCAAGTGCTCTCTCTCTCTCTCTCTCTCTCTCTCTCTCTCTCTCTCTCTGGCTTAACGTTAACTGATCCTTGCACGGCCGTTCAGTGTGCTCTCTGAGACTGTGTGTGTGTGTGTGTGTGTGTGTGTGTGTGTGTGTGTGTGTTAAATCTCTCATCGTCGTCACTGCACATTTTAAGATCAAGTGTGTGTGTTAACTTATCTTGTGACATCATAATGTACCCAAAATGCTCCTCATCTGTGCTCACCCATGACACTGAGCGAGCGAGTGACATAGAGACAGACAGACAGAGAGAGGGAGAGAGAGAATGAAGAGAGAGACGAGAGAGACAGAGAGAGAGAAGAGAGAGAGAAGAGAGAGAGAGACAGAGTATGGGAGAGAGAGAAGAGAGAGAGGGAGGGAGGGAGGGATGATATCTGGACAAAGAGACAGACAGAAGATGGACGAACAACAGCCAGGCGACACGCGGCAGCAGGACGGTAGGAGTGTGTGTGTGTGTGTGTATGTATTTCTGTAGTGGTTGTCATGGTTACACAGCCAGTCAGTAACCACGGCAACCAGCCATGGCTAAAAGCCAGAGTTGATGTTGAGTGTTTGTTTTTCGCTCCAGATAAAAAGTTTCCTTCAAGTTTTCATGAATCAATGGCCGACACCCGCAGACGTCGATCAGCTGATCGATCACTGACAGTTGCTGCTGTCCGACATCAAACATTGACAGCAACTCAACAACAGCGTCCACATGTTCATTTATCTGCCGCTTTTTATTGACCTGCGGTCCGCGGTCCGCGGTCAGAGCGCGACCTTCAGCCGGCTGTTCTAATAATAATAACAATAATACCTTTTATTTCCTGGACGCGGTGCTCCACCGTTGCCATCTTGGCAGTGTCTGACTCCGCCCCCTAACTCCCAGTTAATCCAAACATGGTCAAAGAGGAGGAGCATGGGTGGAGCTGAGACTTCGGTTCATGTCGGTTTAATAACTGTGGTGAGCAGACGCTACCAAAAGCATCGTTAGCAGACCTAGCTGTTTGGGCGTCTTGCTCAAAGGCTAACACAAAGCTAATCCATTTTCTGGCTAATTAGCTAGTTAACAAACTACGCTAGCATGCCAGGTATGGTGAGAGCTAACACTGATACCTGCTATGTTCAGTGACTTGAATTAGCTGAGGTGACGCTGAGTAGCTAGCTAACTGTGAAGGCCCCCACCTGTCACTCAAAGAGGCCACGCCCTCAATCCTTCATAACTTTAGTCCTTAATAAAATGTAAACAGGTGAGTTATATAAACAGGTGTCATGAAGGAGGAAACAAAGCTGTTTTTGTACCAGGGTGTAAACATGTTTATTTCTGCTGTAAAGTTGGACATTTTAACATGGGAGTCTATGGGGACTGACTCACTGTTGGAGCCAGACTCTAGTGGTCGTTAGAGGAACTGCAGCTTCTGGTTCTCCAGTGCTGATGCTTCAGTTAAACAGAATAAGTTTGAGGAGGTGGGATTTGAAAACAGGAAGTGAGCTCCAGAGTGGAGGTGACAGGACTGAAGGCTCTGAACCTCAGGGGTCAGACAGGTGCAGAGGAGGAAGGTGTGACGGGCAGGTGTGTAGAGGTGGAGCAGATTTTAACCACAAATCTGTCACTTCCTGTTCCACTGTGTTCAGAGGAGCTACAGGAAGGAAGTTCCAGGGACCTGTTAGATTTTCCTTAAAGTTTGAGTTAAGGTTTCCTTAAAACAAAACACCTGGTGAGCACATCAAAGCAGAAAAATAACTGTAGCAGCTCCACCAGGGAGTCCCCTGTGTGTGTGTGTGTGTGTGTGTGTGTGTGTGTGTGTGTGTGTGTGTTATCAGGCTATATTAGGGAGTCTGCTTTTATTTCCTCTCACACTGTGACTGTGCCAGGTGGCTGCACAATTGAAGTCAGTCGAGATAGTTTCCATTTGAAACAGTGTGTGTGTGTGTGTGTGTGTGTGTGTGTGTGTGTGTGTGTGTTTCTTTGTTGTGTGTTCTAAGGACAGTTTGAAGATTCAGGTAAGAATCAGGTCAGGGGTCATGGAAGGCATTATGTTAACGTGTGTGTGTGTTAAAGAGGCTCTCTTAAAACAGCTATTTAAGAGACAAGTTTTCCATTTGCCTCCTGGTTAGAGCTGTCAACACACACACACACACACACACACACACACACACACACACACACACACACACAGAGTAGAATCATTGATGTCTATATGCACATTTTATTTTACTACAGATTTAGATATTTACTTGATTTTAGTCTTTTTCTTTCTTTCTTTCTTTCTTTCTTTCTTTCTTTCTTTCTTTCTTTCTTTCTTTCTTTCTTTCTTTCTTTCTTTCCATGACATCTAGAAACAACAGAATTATAGAGAGGTCTCACTCTGTGTGTTTTCTGTCTGCAGATAACCAGTTCAGGATGTCAATCCTGGAGCGGTTGGAGCAGATGGAGCGCAGGATGGCAGAGATGGCTGCCCGTGACAACAACAACCAGCAGAAGCAGCAGCAGCATCAACAGCAGCACGGCAACCAGCTGGCCACGCCCCCTCCTCCACCCCTACCTGAGGAGCATGAACAGGTGAGGATGGACAGCGAGTGTTTTTTCTGTGGCTGTGAAACACGCAGCTTTAACTGATGCTGATCAAGTTTGTAACTTGTCGCCATGACCACAGCACGAAGACACTGTCTTCTGCTACTTGTCTGCCATTGGTCCATTTTCTTATAATCCACCCATGCCCCAGTGCATTATGGGAAAAGGTAGTGCCCAGTGTTTATGGACTTCAAGTCTGTGTTTGGAGAGATGAAAAGAAATAATTAGAAATGTCTTTACACATTTATTGAGCTGAAAACAGAGTCTGTCGATCGATCAGCTGTTTTACATTGATCTGTCGGTCGTGCTCACACATGAGACTTAAACAGAGTGAGAATCCATTCACCCACATGCAGATGAAAAGGTCTCCTGTGCCAGGTCACATGATGCTGCTGCTGACTCTGGCTGAGCTGGCGGTTGGTAACCAGGTTAAGAAGAACTAATTGACCTGAATGGAAAAATCCTTTTAAAACATCTCTGCAGTCTGACCTCTGCTGACCTGAGCTGCAGTGCCCCCCCCCACCCACGTCATGGGGAGTTTGGCAGACGGAGTCCTCCAGCTAAAATAGACTGAGTGTGACGGAGATAGACACAGAGAAAGACCTGACCTTAACTCAGACAATTACAACATGCTCGGCCGCTGCTCTATCATCTATCAATGATCTATCAATAATCTACCTGTCGTCTGTGTTCATGTGATCTGGGCACCTTCCTCACAAACGTCCACGCTTTTCATTTGAGACTTTGAAGGCGGGACCAGTGGCTGATGTCTCCGCCCCTTTGATTGGTCACATTCAACACCCAGAGGAAGAAGAAGGTAAAGAAGAAGAGAGAGCTGGCCCCGCCTCCAAAGTCTCAAAAAAAATGTATGACTTGTGAGACTAACTAACCACCATGTCAGTCCCTGCGATGATGGTGATGAAGATGATGATGAAGATGATTGTGATGATGAAGATGATTGTGATGATGTTGCACAATAAGCAGAATTTGAAAGACATCATGTCAGTCACGTCAGCGTGTGGGCGTGGCTGAAGCGTGCAGCAGGATGGATGACTAACAGCTGTGTGGTCTGACAGCATGTTTATACTCCCTCCCTCTGCTGTCACTCATTTATAGCCTTGCTCACCCCGGGGGGGGGGGACATGCCAGGGAGAATCAGAAGGAAAAACTGGAGGGGGGGGGGGTATGAATGTAATGTTTCCTACCAGCTGGTGGGGAGATGAATCAGTTCCCCTGAACTGACTGCAGAGATGATTGATGATCAGCATTAATCAGTCCACAGTTTTCAGCTTCATTGATCCAATAATCAGATTGTGAATATGTTTAATCATCATGATCAATCAACTGATTAATCAATATATTGATCAAAAATAAAGATCATGTTTAACTGCAGTCTAGGTTTGTCCAGGTGGTCCAGGTTTGTCCAGGTACACCAGGTAGTCTAGGTTAGTCCAGATGTTCTACGTTAGTCCAGGTTAGTCCAGGTTAAGAGGATGTTTGTGTTTGTGAATGTTGCTGTTATTGCAGCTGGTGACATCACTGTCTCTGTCTCAGTCCTCTCAGTGGTTTGAGAGGAGGATTGTGGGAGTGTGTGAGCGGATGATGAGGGTAGGACGATGGGGAGGAGGAGGAGGAGGAGAGAGGCTTCATCACTCTGTCCGTCACCGTGGGATGACACTGCTCCACCTGGCCGCTGCACAGGGATACACACACCTGATCCACACTCTGATCCACTGGAGGTACACACACGCACACACGCACACACACACACACACACACACACACACACACACTCTGACTGGTTGTTTTTGTGTTGTAGGAGTGTGAACAGCGACAGTTTAGACCTGGAACAGGAAGTGGATCCTCTGAATGTCGACCACTTCTCCTGCACCCCGCTGGTAAAACACACTCACACACAAGTAACCATAGCAACCTCAGTACTGTTGCTATGGTTACCAGCCATTGAAAACGTGTTGTCTGTGTTGCAGATGTGGGCATGTGCTCTGGGCCACCAGAGGGCGGCAGAGCTCCTCTACAGCTGGAGCAGTCTGGCTCTGGGGATCCCTGATTCGCTGGGACGCCTGCCGCTCGCTGTCGCCCGCTCCCGAGGACACACCCGCCTCGCCACAGCACTGGAGGAGCTGCACACACAGCGCACGCACACACATACACACACAACGCCCAGGGACACACACGCGTCCCGAGCAGACACGCACACATCGGCCACGCCACAGCCGCCCTTGTCTCCTCTGTCCACCAGCCCGGACACAGGTAACACACCTGCCGCTCGTCATGTGACACCTCCAGCACTCGGGTAGGCTGTAACATCTTCCCTCTCCCTCCTCCAGGTCTGAGCTCCTCCAGCAGCCTCCCCTCCCCCAGTGACCCCTCCTCCCCCTCCCCGAGCTCCGCCTACTCCAGTGGCCCCGCCCCCATGGACACCTCTCCTTCCTCTCCCTTCTCTCCATCCTCCTCCTCCTCACTGCCTGTCTCCCCTCCCTCTGCCTCCTCTCTCTCCCTCTCCTCCCTCCCTCCTGTGTCCATGTGGGGGGAGGAGCCAAACGCCGGCTTCAGCACAGGTAACACAGGTAATCTTCTTGTTGTTCAGCTTGTTGTTTTCCTGTCACTGTGATGTCATGTTTGTCATGTGGATGTCAAAGGTTTGAGCCCCAGAGGCTCCAGAGACTCTCCTCTCTACCTCATGGACTATGAGAGCGCCTCCCCCGGCCACACACACTCTTACACACACGCGGCGGCTGGGCGGCGTTTGCACACGGCGGTGACGTTTGAGGAGCAGCTGCTGAGCTACAGCGAGAACGCCGAGAACGAGGGCGAGGAGGAGGAGTACCTGGAGGAGGAGGTGCTGCAGGTACACAGTTCTCTCTCCTGACATTTAATGTGGAGAAGTTCCAGATTCCACGCGTCTAGAGTTCCTGTTGCTATGGTTACCCTCTCCACACACAGGTTGACATGGCAACTCTGGCAGAGCAGATCATCGAGGCGACTCCTGATCGAATCAAACAGGAGGACTTCCCCAGGGGGGCGGAGTCACCGCTCAGAGGAAGAAGGGACAATCCCGCCATACAGGACACGTGGCTAGCTACCTACCTGGACACGGTCGACGCCCACACACACTCCCCGCCCAGGTAAGCCCCGCCCCCCCACAGAACTGTGTGACCATAGACAGCTGTGTCACCTGTACTTAAGAACATGTGTGTGTGTGTGTGCTTGCAGGCGGATGTGTCCCCCATCCCCTCTCAGTGCGCTGGCCCTCCAGAGGCTCCGCCCCCCCTCCTCTGCAGCGTGGGCGGAGTTCCTGAACGCCTCGGCCAATGGGAAGATGGAGAGAGACTTTGCCCTGCTGACGTTGACGGACGGCGAGCAGAGAGAGCTGTACGAGGCGGCGAGGATCATCCAGAACGCCTTCAGGAGATACAAGGTCTGCACACACACACACACACACTCACATACACACAGACACACAGACAGACACACACAGACACACAGACACACACAGACACAGACACACACACACACACACACAGACACACACACACACACACACACACACACACACACACACACACACACACACACACACACACACACACACACACACACACACACACACACACACACACACACAGTTGACAGGAAACTCGTTCTGCAGCTTTAAGGATGATGATGTCACATGACAGTTGCTCAGAGGGTTTTCACCCCCCCTCTGTTTTCAGGGTCGGAGGTTAAAGGAGCAGCAGGACATGGCTGCCGCCGTCATCCAGAGGTGCTACAGGAAGTACAAGCAGGTAGGTGTGTGTGTTTCTGTGTGTGTGTGTGTGTGTGTGTGTGTGTGTTTGTGTGTGTGTGTGTGTGTTGAGTTTGTCCAGAAGCTTCACTAACACTGAACTAACCTGCTATGTCTCTTTACCACCTCTCTCTCTCTCTCTCTCTCTCTCTGGCTAGCTAACATGGATAGCTCTGAAGGTAATATGGCTGACCAGTAGATGTAGTGGTCTGTCTGTCTGTCTGTCTGTCTGTCTGTCTGTCTGTCTGTCTGTCTGTTTAATGATAGATCAAGAACACATTTATTTTAAAGATGAGGTCATGCTGAGACTCTGGGAGGGGCTCTCCTCCTCTTCCTCCTTCCTCCTTCCTCCGTCACTTCCTCTTGTACGGAGGTTGTTTCCTGTGTGTGTGTGTGTGTGTGTGTGTGTGTGTGTGTGTGTGTGTAAACTGTAACTGTGCCTCTGTCCCCTCAGTACGCTCTCTACAAGAAGATGACGCAGGCGGCCATCTTGATCCAGTCCAAGTTCAGGTCGTACTACGAGCAGAAGCGTTTCCAGCAGAGCCGGCGAGCGGCCGTCCTCATCCAGCAGTACTACCGCAGCTACAAGGAGTACGAGCGGCTCAAACAGGCGCCACGCGGCGCCGCCAGCCACAACCCCAAGATCAAGTGAGAGCTCAGCCGCACACCTGTCACGCTTTCATCATGTCTCCACGCCGGCGACAGGCAGTTGTTCTCAGGTTGTCCGTCAGTACGAACTCATGTCCTGCTTTGTGGTGGATATCTCAGTAACGCTGTGACGGAACTTCTTCATCCGGCACTAAGCTTCACCTGGACCCAGAGATGAACTGTTCCTGTGGTGGCTAAAGGTCAAAGGTCATGGTGACCTCACAAAACACACCATTCATGTTCTCTATGAGTGTGGATGAAGAGGAGGCGGGGCTTGTTAATGTTGTTTAAAGAGGACATGAAACACTTAGTGAAGTTCACATAATTTACAAGACGTATAACCCCTGTAATCATCCTCATGTTTAACACCTGTCAGTTTAACTGGATTCAAAATAATAATAATCTAAATTACAGTTTTCTGACACGTGTAGCGCCATCTTGTCCTGGCGTAGAGCTTGACGTCATTTGGTTGGTTCCGGTGAACATGCTAACGTAATCAGTGACATGAGTGACAGTGCTTGTATGACAGACTCAATGGAGAGTAAGAAAAGCGAATTGGGGGGGGGGGCACTTCTGTATTGCCCCTGGATGCAGCGATGAAATCGAAACAAAGGAAAGATTGTCTATTTTGTCTATTTTCTTTCTTTACCTCTTAAACGACAAGTGCTGTTTCGTCGTTGGCTAGCTGGGTTTGCAGTGAGCACTTTGTAAACGAGGACTATGTGGAGAAGATGAGTTTTGAATCCGGTGTCCTAGTCGCTTGCTGCACCAACAGGCTGGAACCCGAGGCTGTGCCGTCTGTGTTTAACTTCTCTTCTTACAAGACAGGCTGTACAGACATTCCCACCCCCTCTACTAGCATGTAGCTGTGCTCCGTAAGGAAAGGGCTCAACGGCGCAGGCATCTGGCAGAACAGAGGTGCGCACAATTATGAATGATGACGGGGAAACGGCTTAAAAAAAACAGAGCCTAGTCGAATAGATAGATAAAGGTCGTCATGATATGAAAAAACTTTTTGGTTTTGTTTTGCCTCTACATAGATCGTACTCATTCTTCTTAGTTTTACTACTTTTTTACTACTCATCCAGCTCTGATATTGCACAGTGCGTTACTTATATGGACTAAACTATGATGATCCACAAAGGCAAAAAACATGTCATCTCAAGCACCACGTTGTGTTGCCGGCCTCTGCACCTCCTGGAACCACGTGCTGCTGCTGCTCCTCCAAATGATTAGAGTGGCTTTGTGCACTTTCTCTGCTTCTCCTCCTCACCGGCTCCAAAGCATATGCCATAGGGTTTCGATTAATGTCAGTGAAAGTCCGCTCTGCTTCGTCTTTTCACCGTAGCTGAATGCATGGAATCCCCACACACCAACCTAATGACGTAGCGTGTGACGTAAAGGCGATATGGCGGCGACCCAGAGCGAAGGCATAAGTTAACACAGATAATAAATCTTTAATAACTTAGCGTGTAATTGCTTTATATCCAAAATTTTTTCCAAATATATTCTAGCACACTTTATTATGTATAAAAACTTGTAAAATTAGAATGTTTCATGTCCTCTTTAATGGTGCATGTTTCAATGTTATATTTCGTTTATTTATTATTATTTAAATGTGTGTTTAAAGCCGGACAGTCAGAGAGTAACTCCTGGGTCCCAGTGATGAAGCTCTAGGTTCTGTCTGCACCTGAACGCGTCACACACCTGAGAACAACATTGTTGGCTGTTCGTATTGATCACTCCCTGCAGGTATTGGTGACTGATAGTAAACAGCTGGTATTGATTATGTTTCATCAGGGGCTCGTTCTTAACGAAGAAACAGGACCAGGCAGCCAGGAAGATCATGAGGTTCCTGAGACGCTGCAGACACAGGTAACACACACACACACACACACACACACACACACACACACACACACACACTCCTGTCACCCTGTGTGTGTCTCTGACTCCTGCTCGTGTCTCTGAAGGATCAAAGAGCTGAAGCAGACGAGGGAGCTGGAGAGGAGAGGACTGACCACTTAAAGCATTTCACCATCTCTGCTCCTTCTGTCTCCCGGAGCAACGACACTGAGGAGAGGACGAGAGAGGAGAGACATTTTACTCTGAACTACAAAGGGAGAGAAACCAAACAGAGAAACTGATGGAGAGATGCCTTACCCTTATTCTCCCTTCTTTTCCCACCTATCTGTCTATTGATCGATCTATCTGTCAGTTGTTCCGTCGTCTCTCCTGGTTGAATGTATCTGTCTGCAGCGTGTAAGGAGCCCCCCCCCCACCCCCCTGACACATGTGGTAGTTTTGCCCTGAGCAGACTCTTCCAGTGAGAAACAGGAAGCTGTCAGGAAACAGCTGATGTTGTGGCGGTGGTTACGTCGTCACCACTGATGCTCCATCACACTCCCCGTTATTCCTCCGCCCGGCGACAGTCAGAGCGGCGGGCATTTTGTTTTCAGGTTGACGTCTCATTCTCATGGACACGATGTCTAGACTACACTTTGGTGGCTGAAGGTCAAAGGTCAAGTTAATAGCCATTGATCGAAGGCAAGTGTGAGACGATTTCACATGTTTATGTTTGATATTTGATCTGACTCTGGACGCAGGATGTGACCCGGCGGAGCAGCTGATCCATCAATAACCAGGGACAGAACATCAGCTGCCGTGAGCCGGGTTACACTCCACCGTGCGCTGCCCCCAGGTGCATGCTGGGATACTTATTTAAAGTATCCCTCGTTTCTCCTGGGAGGCGACGCTCAGGGCAAAGCAAACCAGGAAGGAGCGATGTTTGTTCTCCCCCCTCCCATAATTCCCTGCTGTTGACCTGTGCAGGTGAGGGGAGGGCCAACAGGGTTCAGACTGAGACTGTGTACATGATGATAACAAATCTATTTAAACACAATCACATATATAAACATATATAAACATATATATATATTCTAAAGGTGGAATTTATAGATGCTTATGGATGTTTTTATTTATTACAGCATGAACTGTTAGTGTGAGTGTACGAGTGTGTGAGTGTATGAGTGTGTGTGCTGCACAGACTGTAAGTCGAGTCTTAAGGAACCCCCCACGACCTCTGACCTCCAGACGGACGAACCAATCAAAAACTTTATTTAATTAGAACAAAGCAAAGAAAATGAGTCTCTGCATGAAGTCTGACCTGAACCACATGTTGATCTGATTCAGTGTGACATCACTTCCTGGTGATGTCCCTCCAGAATAAGACTCCAGGCTGCAGAAGTTCATAGAGGATCCTCCAGTTTTTAAGTTTCTTTCGGCTGTGTGAAGATACAGATTAAAACATCCTGATGGTGAAGATGAAGATGGAGATGGAGGCGGACATGTTTGTAGTTCTGTCCTCCTGACAGGACAATAACTTATCATATGCATTAGTCTGAAGAATCACATCGTCACATCACAAACACTGGTTCCATTATTCCCTTTGGGGAGGTGAAGCGGGCTGTGATGTCACTGTGATGACATCATATCTGAGCTGATGATGTCGGAGGTCGGACCGGGGTTCCCTTCAAACTGTACTTTAAAACGCGGCGCTGATAGACGACGCAGCAGCAGCGACGGCGGCACTTTGGTACGAAATCACTGCGACTGCTGCTGCGTCCTTTCCCGCCGCTGCCACACGTCCCTCTGTTTTTATACAGTGTGCTTTTACTTAGGCAGAGAGCGAGTGACGCTGTGTCGTCATGGAAACCACAGCATCCAGGACCCAGCATGAGCTTTGTTTCTGACGAGCAGTTTGATCTGGAGGAGACGTGGAGTCATCGTCGTTCAGCTGTTGCAGTGACGCTTTGCATGAGTTTGTTTTTCATCGTTTCAAAACCTTTCAGATGAAATCATCAACATAATAAATCAGCTGTTTGCTAATTGTCTCGGTCCCGTTTCTGTTTCCTGCCCCGTCTCCATGACGACCACAAAGACTTTACAGGTCCAGTAGAAATGACTGAACGGGGTTTGAACCTGTGTAACAGTCGATCAGCACCGACAACCTCCTGGTTCACTGGCAATAAAACCCACGGGGCGTCGCTCTAAATGTTGCTGCAGCAAGGGATTGTGGGACGACATGTCTCAGCTCCTGTAGGAAACACTGGAGCAGTCCCGTTATTCCCGCTGCTTCCTGAACCCACCGTTAGAACCGGACTTTGGTTTCGGTTCTCTGACTTGAGCTGCCCGAGTCTTTCAGGGCGGAGCTTCAGGCGACCAGCCTACTCCCTGTGGCGGGGGCTCACCTGTGAGTGTCACGCATGTTCAGACTCTCCAGTGTTTCCTGGAAACACGGCGGCTGATGGGTTCAGGTGTTAAACACCTGCTACAACAACTCAGAACTGTTTTCTCTCTGTTTCACGAGAACCACAGAACCATGACAACCAGAGAACCATAGAACTATAGAACCATAGAACTATAGAACCACAGAACCATGACAACCAGAGAACCATAGAACCATGAGAACCATAGAACTATAGAACCATAGAACCATGAGAGCCATAGAACCATGAGAGCCATAGAACCATGAGAACCATAGAACCATGAGAACCATAGAACCATGAGAACTATAGAACCATGAGAGCCATAGAACCAGGAGAACTATAGAACCATGAGAACCATAGAACTATAGAACTATAGAACCATGAGAACGTTACTTCTTTTACAGGAACAAACTGATCTAAACTGTTCCCAGCTTCCTGCCGTCAGAGGAAGAGCTGAAACAAACCACTTCCTCTTCAGCAGAGAGAACCATGAAACACCATCTGAAGTTCTTAGAATTAAAAAGCGAGAAGACGTCACGTGTCAGTGACGCCTCAGCATCAGGATGACGTGCTGTCGTCAGTCCGACGCAGCCGCCAGATCCATGTAAAAACAGGAGCTGGGACTTCCTGTTCTGTCGGTGACAACACGCCACATGATCCGTCTGATATTCACATGAAGAGCCACAAAGATGAGAGCTCACGTTCCCTGACTGATCAGCTGAGGACACGCTGACAGTCTCTAACCCAGCAGTTCGTACTCAGCTGTAAGTCTGATAGTAATAACTCAGGGCAAAACAAATGGCAGGTTATTTCTTCTCCTCAGAGTGATCAGATATCATGTTCATTTAAGATGGCCACAGTTTTAAATAACTTCATCTTAACTTACTCACAGTTTGTTGTCTTATTTACACAAACTTTACAAGTTCATCAGAAACATTTTCCTCCCCATGTTGTCACAAATATTAAATGTACTGATTAAAGAAGTGGTAGTGTTCACAGTCTCCAGCTGCTGCTCAGGCCCAAGGCTTCAGTCAGTGAAGGACTCAATACAAAGTGGGACAGTGTAAAATGATGAGCAGATTCTTTATTGAGACATGAGAGCAGAAGGACACAGAGGGGACACTGATATCAGTCAGCTGTCCTCAGAGGGACTGAACCATGACGAGGACAAGAAGAAAAGAGGCTGCAGCTCTGATGGAGTCCAACACACAGTGTGAAGCAGTGACAACAAGGAGTTTAGAGGACGTGACAGTGAAAGCTCTAACAGATGTGATCATCAGAGAGATGGAGGTTCAGAGTCAGAGACCTGATCCACTTCATCATCACTCTCACCCGTTATTACACAACTACACTCTGCTGCTCAGAACTCATGCTCAGTGGTGACATCAGCAGTGATGTCATCATAGTCCTCATCCAACCCCTGACCTCCTCCAACAGGCTGGGTCATCTCCATGGAGACGGCCGCTTTGTTTCCTGTCTTCCTGCTGCAGTAGATGGACAGAATCAGACCAGTACAGATGCAGTACGGACAGAAGACCAGCAGGTGGCACAAGAGTCTGACCACTAAGGAAGGAGGAGGAGGAGATGAAGGAAGAGGAGGAGATGAAGGAAGAGGAGGAGATGAAGGAGGAGGAGGAGATGAAGGAAGAGGAGGAGATGAAGGAAGAGGAGGAGATGAAGGAGGAGGAGGAGATGAAGGAGGAGGAGGAGAGGAAGGAGGAGGAGGAGATGAAGGAAGAGGAGGAGATGAAGGAGGAGGAGGAGATGAAGGAAGAGGAGGAGATGAAGGAGGAGGAGGAGATGAAGGAAGAGGAGGAGATGAAGGAGGAGGAGGAGATGAAGGAGGAGGAGGAGATGAAGGAGGAGGAGGAGATGAAGGAAGAGGAGATGAAGGAAGAGGAGGAGATGAAGGAGGAGGATCTATGGAGAAGAAGTAGAACCAGGTTCAGGTCAGTGATCAGTTTATCATAAGGTCAGCAGGTTAGTTCATATCTTTAAACTGTCTATAAACAGGAAGTGATGTCAGTGTCCTGACCTCTGACCCTCAGCCGGCTCTGAGGAGACTCTCCAAAGTCCTCAATCAAACACCAGTAGAAACCTTCATGAGACTGTTGGACTCCACTGATCTTATATTCTCCATCAGGGTCAGATCTAAGGCGGACACCATCCCTGAAGAAATAAGCCTCTCGTCTGCTCTTATCTCTGGCTCTACAACGCAGAGTGACATCACTTCCTGTCATCACAGGAAGTGCAGGAATCTCCAGGATCACATGACCTGAACCACAGAGACCAGAGTCATATACAGACAGAGTCACACCAACAGACAGAGTCATGTACAGACCTGCAGGTTGAACCACTCACCTGTTGTCACACTGATGTTGACCTGGAGGCTCGTCTCTCCTGAACTGGTCCCACACCAGTAAACTCCAGAGTCTGACCTGGAGAGACCTGAGACGGTGCAGGAGGAACCATCAGAGGTCCCAGATCCTGAACCACAGTCACCAGTCTGTCCTCCACTGGTCCTCTTCACTGTCTGTCCTGTCTGTCGTCCTCTTGTCTGTTCTGTCTGTCCTCCACTGGTCCTCTTCACTGTCTGTCCTGTCTGTCCATCTTCACCACAAACTCAGAGACACTGAGTCTCCACTGAAGAACTGCTGAAGGTTTGGACTGACATTCAGAGAGACAGAGAGAGACAGAGAGAGAGGGAGAGAGAGAGAGAGAGAGAGAGAGACAGAGAGAGACAGACAGAGACACAGAGGGAGAGAGGGAGAGAGATTTTTTTTGATTTTTAGAAAACACATTTATTTTCCAATAAATAGATCAATATCAACAGAAACATAATCCTCAGATTAGACACAACAACAACATGGTTTATAAAACTCATAAAAACACAGAGTTAAAAATCAGCTTCCCCTCAACAACAGAACAGAGAGCTGCAGTGAAACACCACTGGGACAGAAACCCATCAACATTATTCATGAGTACGTAAAACCTGAAGTCTGCTGTGATTCTGGCTTTCACCAACAACTTAAACACTGACAGCAGCTCCCCACCTGAAACACCTTCTACTTGGTTCTTCCTGCTTTTAGAAATGGACAGTTCGGCCTGTCCCACCACAAAGTTCAGCAGCTGCCACTTCTTTGCATTTTCCTTTTTGTAGCCAGCAGCAAAAATAAAAGCAGTTTCACACCAACTCTCACCACAGTTTAAAAACACAGTTTTCAGAGTCTCAAACAGAACTTCAAGTCTTTTACCATCCAGGAAACAGTGAAAACAGTTTCTGGTTCCTGACAGAAAGGACATTTAATGGACACTGTGGGATTGATCTTAGAGACCAAGCTGTTGACAGCCAGCGCTCCCTGCAGGATTCTCCACTGCAGATCACCTGACCTCTTGTTTAAAGGCGGTTTATAAAACAGCCTCCACACAGGTTTACAGTGATCCTGCACCTTTAATTCATTTCTCCACACATTGTCTGTTCTACACTCAACTTTCTCTTGTTTAAAGCTTGTACACAGTATTTATACAGAGCTTTCCCATTGAGCATGTAGAGTCTGCAGGTGCAGCATGTTTATAGACCAACAGTGGTCCAGTCAGTCAGTGTGGGTCTATTTTAAGACCCAGTTCAGGAAAAGGGGTCCGTTCCATCAGGAGTGTCTGTTCCAGAACAATAGTCCTGTATCATTCCTGATTCTTTCTCACTCAGTCTTTTAGTCCATGTGTTTAAAATGTTCTGGTGTGACGATGTGACTTCAGGCCCAGTAGAGAAGCTACTGCCTCTGTGTTGTTTGAGTCCTGGACCTGCAGCGTCCACTATGTGTCTCAGCTTCACTGTCCCAGCTGAAACCAGACGCTGGGTGAGACCAGGTCTACTATTGTCCTGAACATCCAGTCTGGCTCCGTGGATTAGAGGCTCCTCCAGGAGCCAGTACAGTGAAGCTGCAGGTGTTAGTCTGATCATTAAAAAGAGTCCATGCTCTAATAAGTCCCTGATAAAATGATTCAGATCACACAAACGTATAAAACTACAATTCATTAAAAACAAAGATGCATCTAAATCCAGACCCGCTACTCCCTTTAAAATGATGCTCATGACTGGTTTCCCACACCACGTCATCGTTACCTGTGAGGTAGCGTTGGATAAACCTGTAATCTAAAAGCTGCTACTCTGCTCTCCAGGTGTACCAACCCCTGCCCCCCCTCTTCCTTCGGCAGGTAAAGTACACTCTGTGGAACCCAGTGCAGTTTGTCCCAAAGAAATTACCCATATGCTCTGCACTTTCTGCAGCAGCCCAGCAGGAGGCGCCATACATTTTAACTTATGCCACAGAGTTGATGCCACTAAGTTGTTTATTATCAGCACTCTTCCTCTGTATGACATGTGAGGTAGCAGCCACCTCCACCTGGCCACCTCCCCTCCACCTTCTCCACCACTCCCTCCCAGTTCTTACTGACAGTCTGACTGTCTCCCAGATAAACCCCCAGGTACTTCAGGGCCTCCCCTCCTCCAGCTCAACCCTCCTGACAAGCTGAGGAAGACCTGCAGACCAACTCCAACTGCTAAGGCCTCCACTCTTTGCCCAGTTCACTCGTGGAGCTGAGATTTTCCAAAAGTGTCTACAATATTTCCAAATGTGTGACATCGTCCTGCGTTTTTTATAATAACAATAATGTAATCTGCGTATGCAGATAAACTAAAACGTGTCTCACAATCAGGTAAAAACTAGACCATCGATAAAAGAACGAATATTGTGCAACATTGGCTCAATTGAAAGTGCATATAACATCCCAGACATCGAGGAGCCTTGTCTTATCCCCCGAGTCACTTTAAAGGGTTTTACACCAAACCACCATTCATACTTTCAGTACACTCTCAACGTCCTCGTACAAAACCTTAATCTTGGCAATGAATCCAGGGCTGAGGCCGAACCTCTGTAAAACCTTCCAGAGGTAACGGTGCTCAACCCGGTCAAAAGCCTTTTCCTGGTCCAGAGAAATCAGACCAGCATCAAAGCCCAAAGAACCAGAGACAGAATCAGTGACACATTGTCAACTATGGACCTACCGGGCACACAGTAGGTCTGAGTTCTGTGTATGGACCTGGTCCATCACCGTCTTCAGTCTGTTGGCCAGGACTTTAGACAGCAGTTTATAATCTGTACACAGTAGAGAGACCGGCTCGCCAGTTCTTGATGTCCTGAAGATCTCCTTTCATTGGCAGCAGAGTCAGAACTGCTCTCCTGCAACTCTGGGGCAGAGACGAGTCACCAAAGCTCTCTGTGAAGACATCTTAGACGTCTGTCTTTAGTTCACTCCAGAAAGCTTTGTAAAACTCAGGTGGAGCCCGTCAATCCCAGGGGCCCTCCCCCCCTGCATACTCTGCAGCACCATGGAGACTTCCTCTGTGGTCAGAGGACCCTCCAGCTCCTTGTTGGTCTCCTCCGAGACCCTGGGCAGCCCACCGCAGAACAAGTTAAAAGCCCCGTCATCTTCAGTGTACTCACTTTCAAACAGCTGGGAGTAGAAGTCCACAGCTCTCTGTCGGATCTCGCTGTCTTCAGTCAGCAGGTGTCCTGCAGCTGAGTGCAGAGCGTGGATGAACCTGCTCTGCCCATTCTTCTTCTCCAGGCTGAAAAAGAACTTGGACGGTGAGTCCATCAGAGCAGCGCTCTGAAAGCGGGACCGGATCAGCGCCCCTTGTGCTTTAGAGCCCAGCAGGTCCGCCAGTACGGCTTTTTTTGGTTTTGAGTCTTCAATACAGCCTCGATCTCCTGTGGACTCTGCAGCACTTTTGCAGCTCCACTATTTCAATCTCCAGATCTCTTATAGATTTGGTGATGTCACGAGAGACATTGAGAGTGTACTGTTGACAAAACTGCTTGATCTCCACTTTCCCACAATCCCACCACTGCTTCAACGATGTAAAATCCCCTTTTCTAGTTCTAAAAACTCCCCAGAAATAAAAACGTTTCTTTAAAATGTTCATCCAACAACAAAGCAGTGTTAAAGTGCCAATACGCAGACTTGTGTTTCACAATTTGCAATATACACATTACACCATGCAATGATCTGAGAACCCCACAGGAAGTATTCTGCATCCTTTAAAAATAACTAAAATGATGCTTAAAACAATAAAACCTGTCTAATCTGGCCATAGAGAGAAGCTTCTCTCTGGTCTGGACCCAAGTGTACTGCCTCTGTTTGCCATGTGTTTCTCTCCATACGTCCGTTAAACTTTGAGCCTCTACCAGCTGCTTCATGGCTGGTTTTGAAGCGGCATGAGGTTCAGTGTGATTCCTGTCCAGCTGATCGTTCTCTGTGCAGTTAAAATCTCCTCCTAAAAATAAAACCTCTTCAGGCCCACACTGACTTAAACCACAGCTAGTTCATTTAAAAACTGAACTCTGGCAGGTCCTGTGTTGGGAGCGTATACATTTATAAAAACAAGAGTAAAACGCTCATATTTGGCTCTGACCACCATCAGTCTCCCCTCCATACTTCCTCCACCACATGAGACTGTGGCAGAAACTTTTAGAAAGAGGATTGCCCCTCCTCCACTGGTCCTAGTTAGGTGGACTTAAACCACCTCCCCGTCCATTCCTCCTTCCAGTCAGTCTCATTTACAGAGTCGCCTGTGTGTTTTCCTGACCAAACATCACATTAACACTCTTCATATCATCAGCTCAAACAGACTGGCTCTCCTCCTCACATCTCTGCCTCTATTTATTATGAAGTGTGAGACTTTAAAATCACTCATTGTCCTCTTGATGTTGAGAAGCACCACACACACTAAGACAAACAAACCAGACTGTCTTACACTGTTTCTGAGTCTTCATCATTATTCAGCTCTTGTTTGAGTCTCAGGACTAGTTTCTTCAGTCTGTAGACTTCCTGGTCAGTATAACCCCCTTTTCCCTCTGCTGCTCATCTGTGATCTGACAGATCGTACAAACAGTTCTCTTGTCTGCAAAGTTTCTTCCACTCCGACTTTTTTCATATTTTTCGTTTTTGCAGGAACTTTTTAATTTGTTGTATTTCATATTTTTCCTCCTGCTGTGATTCAACAGACAGCTGTGAGTCAGTGTGAGGCTGGCTGCTTCATCACAGTCCTCCTCCTGCTCCTCTTCCTCCTCCTCTCCTCCTCCTCAGACTCTGGCTGCCTTCATCACAGTCCTCCTCCTCTTCCTCCTCCTCCTCCTCCTCCTCCTCCTCCATGCCAGACTCAGACTCTGGCTGCCTTCATCACAGTCCTCTTCCTCCTCCTCCTCCTCCTCAGACTCAGGCTCTGGCTGCCTTCATCACAGTCTCTCCTCCTCCTCCTCCTTCAGACTCAGACTCAGACTCTGGCTGCCTTCATCACAGTCCTGCTCCTCCTCCTCCTCCTCCCCTCCTCCTCCTCCTCCTCCTGCTCCTCTCCCTCCTCCTCCTCCTCCCTCCTCCTCCTCTTCCTCAGACTCAGGCTCTGGCTGCCTTCATCACAGTCCTCCTCCTCCTTCCTCCTCCTCCTCCTCCTCAGACTCAGGCTCTGGCTGCCTTCATCACAGTCCTCCTCTCCTCCTCCTCCTCCTCCTCCTCAGACTCAGGCTCTGGCTGCCTTCATCACAGTCCTCCTCCTCCTTCCTCCTCCTCCTCCTCCTCCAGACTCAGGCTCTGCTGCACCTCCTTCTGCTTCTCTCTGATGGTCACTGCTCCTTTCTTGGCCTGAGAGCCGCTGTCACTGTTTGTCTGTTTCCTTTTGAGAGCAGGGACTTTAAAATCCTTCTGCTCCATCACGTCTTCATCAGTGTCTCTCACTGTGTCTCTCACTGTGTCCTCTGCTGCTGTGTCTCTCACTGTGTCTCTCACTGTGTCTCTCACTGTGTCCTCTGCTGCTGTGTTTGCAGTGTTCACCACAGTCTGCTCTCCTGCTGCCGTTTCACTGTCAACACTTTTCTCCCTCCCTGTGTGACTGACAGCTGTTTCATGTCCTTGTCTCTGAGTGTCAGAGTCTTCTTGACTCTGCTGTGTCTGTTTTGTCCCCTCACCATCTTGTCCAGCTTGTCTCTGTGTGTCTCCTCTCTCCTCCTCCCTCTGTGTTTTATCAGCAGAGGAGACTTTATCAGGACAGGCTCGGACTAAATGACCCTCCCTCCCACATCCAAAACACTTTAAAGTCCCAGAGTTCACAAACACAACATAATCAAAATCATCCACTCTCACATTAAACACGAGACTGAGCTCCTCGTCCTTTTTGTTGAGGATCATCAGAACCTGCCGTCTGTGTGAAACCACATGTTTCAGCAGCGGAGATTTACAGCCCGACGGCAGTTTCCTGATCTGGGAAACGATCTTCCCGTGTCTCGCCAGCTCCCTCAACAAAACCTCATCACTGATGAACGGAGGGATGTTTGATATGGTGACTTGTTTAGCCGGTGTGGTGAGAGGAGACACCGACACAAACGTGTCATTCACAACAACTCCGGCCTCAATCACTTTGTTAACTTTCTCTACGCTGTCAACAAAGATGACAACAGCACCGTTCATCCGAGCAGCAGATTTAATGCTGCTGTGACCCACAACTTCTCCCACCGCCAGACTGCAGTCCTCCACCGAACACTGAAACCCAGCAGAGATTTTAAAACCATGTTTCCTGCTGAGTCTGGTGAACTCCATGTCGGCGTTCACCACGCCGACCAGCGAGAGACGCTGACCCCTGACCTCCTGTATACATACCAACACTAACACCTACACAACCTGAACTACACACTATTTACAACATTTACAGAAAAGATCGAATAGAGATAGAGACAGGGAGAGAGAGAGAGACATTCACATACAGTCAGTAACTGTTTTCTCTCTCACCTGCAGACACAGTCAGTCTAGACAGCAGCACACACACACCTGCAACAAGAGGACAGAGGTCAGTGAAGGTCAGAGGTGAGTGAGTGAGTGACTGAGTGACAGTAGAAGTGTGTGGACTCACCGAGCAGCAGAGAGACAGGTGGAGACTTCATGTTGTCTGGGTGACGACTGACTGTCAGTCTGAGCAGCAGAGAGACGCCTTCAGCTTCACCACTTCCTGTTGACGACCTCAGCACGTCACTGGTGTCAGTGTCCCTATATATGTATGTATAGATATACATGTATGTGTATATCAACGTGTGTAAACTGTGTATTCATAAACACACAGATGTGTATAACGAGTGTGTGTTTCCAGACGACGCCACACATCTAGAAGAAGTTGTGGTAACCGCACGGTGTCACATGACGTGGTGGCCGCTGCAGCTCGGGTTGGCGCTGTGTGTCTGCTGGTGTCTTATTGTGATCACTGATCAAACCAAGTCTTAGCAAGTAGCTAGCTAGCTTAGCATTAGCCTGCTACAATAAGATGGTTAAAATCACACAGCTTTGGATGCACCTGTGTGTGTACACGTGAAGTCGTCAGCTGTGAGAAGCAGGTGGAGTTTGACACTGTGGTGAGCTGAGGGCGGGACAGGAAGTCTCCGTGCTGGTCAGGTCTTATCTACAAGTCACACATGGAGACCAGCGTCAACTCACAGCTGACAGACAGGAAGTGACTGACTGACAACGGATTGTGTTAAAGGCTTTTGCTCAGCTGAGTCAGTTAGGAGAACTAAAGAGGAGAAGTAAGAATGATGTGAATCATGTCCATTAGCTCATTGTTGATAATAAGAAAAACAGTTGATAATAAATAAACAATATCAATTATATTAATCCACTTCCTCTGGCTGAGGTGTTGTACGTGAAGCAGGGATCCGCCCCCGTCCCTTCCAGCTTGTCTTTAAGAGTGGGGGGTTGGATGGTTTTAAATGCACTTGAGAAATCAAAGAACATAATCCTCATGTAAGAATGGGCCATGAAGGACGTGTATAAATACAATCTGTGTGTTGATGCTGTGATTCTGTCTCCTGTTCACAAATATAATCATTTTTCCATGTGTTCCTGATCACAGCAGGTGGACCGACCATGAAGCTGCTGTATTTCTCTGTAGCTGTTGAACATCTTAAAGATGGTGGATGGTGAAGGAGGCGCCTGGTGCTGCCCACCTGTCTGATTCTGTCTGTGGTGACGGGCACAGACGCACCAGTGTGAATGACGAGAGTCAACGGACATTTAATCCACCACTTTGAACTCTGGGAAACTGCACTGGACATTTTCCACTGTTGCAGTAGCTGAAACCGACTTTCCACTCTGATTTCATCTTCTTTCTCTTCTCTGTAAAGAATGAGATGTTCGTCCTAATGAACGACATGTTTTAGTCTCTTTTAGAAAGTCATTGTGCTGCATGTGTGATTTCTCTAGATATATAGTTTCCTTGATAGTGAGTGTTTTGGCCTCAGTGTGAGTAACCCTCTGGTTCCTGGCCTCTGCGTGGATTGGTCTTTAAGTCCTTTTATTTTTCTCACTTTTATTCTGCATCAAACAGTGTTTATATGGATTAATCAATAGATCAAAACGATTCTGCTTCTTCTGACACTCCTGTAAGTCTTCAGTTCAGAAAGTCATAAAAATATCTCAGTATAAAAAGGCATAAAAATGTCCTCATAGGTCATCACTTCTCACGTATGTGCACGTTATCAGCTGATTGTTTGCATCTACCAGCCTCTGAAGACATCACCTCACATGCATCGTACGTGCTAGTAACCTCTCCATGTGAG